GTTGCTCAATTGGATTAAGGTCAGGAGAACGAGAGGGCCAGTCAATGGCATCAATGCTTTCGTCATCCAGGACCTGCCTACACACTCTGGCCACATGAGGCCGGGCACTGTCCTGCACCAGGAGGAACCCAGGGCCCACTGTACCAACATAAGGTCTGACAATCACTCTGAGGATTTCATTCTGGTACCTAACAGTGGTCAGGGTACTGTTGGAATTGACATGGAGGTCTGTGCAACCCTCCAAGGATATGCTTTCCCAGACTATCAATGACCCACCACCAAACGGGTCATGCTGGATGATGTTACAGGCATCATAACATTCACTATGGTGACTCCAGACTCTTTCACTCCTGGCACGTGCTCAGTGTGAACCCGCTCTCATCTGTGAAAAGAACGGGGCAGCAATGGTGGACCTGCCAGTTCTGGTGTTCTCTGGCGAATGCCAATCAAGCCGCACGGTGCTGCCTCCATACTCTTGAGACTGTGCTAGGAGACACAGCAAACCTTGCGACCGCATGTATGGATGTGACTATCCTTGAGGAGCTGGCCTACCTGTGCAACCTGATTGAGCTGCAGGTACTTCCTCATGCTACCAGTAGTGACAAGGATACTAGCAGAACACAAAACGAGAGAAGAATCAGTCAGGAAGGATAAGGAGAGAGCAAATGTCTGTGGCCACCACATGCAAAACCATTCCCTTTTTGGGGGTTGTCTTACTTTTGCCTCTCCATTGCACCTGTTGTCACTTTCATTTGCACCGAAGCAGGTGAAACTGATTCACAATCACTTGTGCTTGCTAAATGGACAGCTTGGTATCCCTGAAGTTTAACTGACTTTGTGTTATACTGTGACCATAAATAGAAATAGTTAGAACTTTATTTATTCCTGAGGATTCAGCTGTCCAGCAGCTCATAAAAGACAAAAATCAAAATAAAATATGTTAAAATAAGTGCACAAATAGAAATTAAATTAAGATCAAATGAAATTGTCTATTACACAGTCCAGCCAGTTGTAGCTAATGTTATGTGTGTAAATGTGGATTCAGGAGGTGTTAAACAGTCTTATTGCTGTGGGGATGAAGGATCTCCTGAAACGCTCTGTTCTGTGATGCAGTGAGATGAGCCGACTGCTGCAGCTGCACCTCTGTCGCTCCAAGAGGCTGTGGAGAGGGTGTCTGATATTGTCCATTATAGCTTTCAGTTTGTTTAATATGGCCCTCTCCACCACAATTCTTAGTGGGTCTCCTGCCAAGCACTGAGCCAGCTTTTTTAACCAGTTTGTCCAAATGCTTGGTGTTTTGGTCTGTCAAGCTGCTTCCCCAATTCAAATAAACACAAGAAGTTTGTGCTCTAGAGAAAGGATCAGCACTCAGTGAATAACCTCCTAAGCCCTATGATAAGCTATTATGGCAAGGCTTAACTATACAGACCAGTGAGCAGTGATAACTAACATGTCTTTGGGGTCATCGGGTGGGAACCTCCTTTCACCAGTGTTTCGTCTAGTTGGTCCCACGACACCTCCAGGAAGCCAGACAGTGATCTCTGGCATCCCAGAGACACTCCCCTAATGCCAGGTCTCACTGCTCCCCGCACCAACCCAATAACCTCCTTTACCTTACTTACACATGGCTTTCTCAGCCCACACAGCACTGCCACATTCAACAAATCAAGGCTCCGTACATGCAAGTTCCAGGTAGAAACAGGGCTGATACTACCTTTCCTAGCACATTCACCATACTCTATTTCACATGCTACATAGCGTAACTCCAATATAAGCTAAAGTTAAAGGAGATAAATAAACTCACAGGATCAGCAAACACACTCACCTTGCAGCATGGTCTCAAACAAAAGGGATTCAAATAGGCCACTCCCACACTTAAATAACCTTCCTCTTCCTGGATTTTCTCCTGAGAGGAAGTGGATCTCTCCACCTGATCTCAAGGAGTTATGTACCCTGTTTAGTAGTTCCCCCTGCTGGCCCCCAACTGACATTATTTCTTCTCTTATAGATAAACTGGCTGGCTCTGGGTGCTTCATCTGACATTTCCATCACTGTCTTCCTCAAACTCTGTCCCTGCACTCCGAGTTCCCCCAGGAGCGAGACAGCTGATCTTGCTATGAATCCCCTACACCCCACTTCCACTGGACAAATCCTAGTTTTCCATCCTCGCTGCTCAGCTTCTGCTCCTAAGTCTGCATATCTAAGCTTTTTTCTTTCATAGGCTTCTTCCACTGAGTCTTCCCAAGGAACTGTCAGCTCAATGAAATAAACTATCCGTTGACTCACTGACCACAGCACTATGTCAGGCCTCTGCTTGGTACAAACTATTTCCTGGGGAACAACAAGCTTTCCCCCTAAATCTACTTGCATTTCCCAATCACAAGCACCTTCTAGGTGGCCACACCCTTGCCTCCTTACTAACTTATCCCTTCTGTATTTCTCCCCCTCACGGACAAACTGAATTGCTAAACTCCTATTCTTAAAACCGTCTGAATTAACCTGTCTTCGTTTCCCTTCGATGCCTGCAGCTAAACATTTCAACACCTGGTTATGTCGCCATGTATATCGGCCTTGTGACAAGCTAACTTTACAGCCTGACAAAATATGCTTTAAAGGAACTAGAGGCAGGAATTGTGAAAAAATAAACATGCATTTCAAGTGTTATCATGCTAATGGGTGATGAAGTGTTCTGAAACAAAAAGAATGAGCTCAGCCACGGATCTCTCTGTTGCCTTGAACAGGCTGGGTGGTGCATAATGTACTGTGATTCGTCATCCGAATTTCCCGCGCAGTTCAGCGGACGTAACAGACGTAGTGGACGTGATGACGTCAAATGACGCTGATGCGCATTCTCGACGGCGGTGAACGGAAACTCATGTTTGAGTAGTAATGGATTCTGCTGCGGCCAGCAAACGACCCACAACAACACGAAGCCCTCTAAAAAGTCCAGCTAAGAAGAAGACAAAGAAGGTTTTATCAGCGGCATCTCTGGAGTCTAAACGTAATTATGACCGAAGCTGTGCTGGAAAGCAAATCAACATTGGATACGCGTCTGACTCATGGAGGCAGCTTCAAATTGAACTGGGACTCAAAACAGATGCCGACATGGCTCATTTCCTAGTGAACAGGTAAGAAAACATTACAGCTCGTATTTAGTGCTTGATTTGAAAATCATATGAAATCACCAAGGAGTGAGCTAACCTGCAAAGTAGCATTAGCTGTGAGCTCCGCTCCGTTAGCTTTGTAGCGTGCATATAACTTAGTCCACCACTGTGTAACATTTGATAGTTACAGACGGCTCTAGTCTGAGTGTCAGACTGAAGCTCCCAGAACCTTCAGTCTGACATTGCCTCCATTGAAGGCGATTTACAAGGGGGAGGGAATTTGATTTTTCCCTAACCAATCAGTAGAGATCAACGACTCACCCAGAATCTGACGTCATTAGTATCCATGCCTCTGGGGTGCCGAAACAAGCGAGCATTGCCTGTTTAAAATGTCTCCGTCGTCGTGCACGCCCAGCTGCATCGCCATTAAATCTAGTTTAGCAGCTTCCTTAGCAGCCTCCTTGGTCCTCCATTAACACGAGTAGTGGCGAAATACCTCGATAGCACCGTCAATGTGGTCTGTAGGATCTGTAGCAGTCGCCATTGTTGCTATCCTCACCAGTTACCCACCGGCGTACAGCTTGACATCAGCGTGGCGCTGATTGGCTAATCGCTAGACCCACCCCCACCCCTGGCGTTCGTTGGCCCATCCATCGTTTGGATGAGATAAATCGCAAATTCATTGCAGTATGCCAGACCAGAGATACAAGCCTACTCAGTTGAGTGGGCGGGGTCTATGGTCTGGAACCAGGCTAAGACGGCTCATTTTCCACGGTCCATTAGTCTGAAACCGAAGAGTCAGAGATACTGTATGTTCCTGTATATTGGACCTAAAGCCCAACCTGTTATCCGGGAGGTAACGTTAGCAGCTGACGTTGTTGTTGTTTGTGGTCCATGTAGTAACGTTTTGTTGACTTGTTTATGATACTGTTGTGGTGTAGCTGAATAAAAGGCAGTTTAGAGCTAAATGTGAAGCGCACAATGGCACATAAACATGCTCGTGTGGTGCTATATAAATGCATATAAATGTGTATGTAAATTGATACTGTGCGTGTCTACCTGGCTAATAAAGTTGTTTTTATTATGACGACTATGCTGGTAAAATGTTTGTGTGGGGTGGGTGAAAAGAGTCTCAACTCATCGATGTAGCTTTCAGTGTTTATTTTTCTAAATTTGACTTGTGTTGTAAGCAAGAATATTCCAGACATTATACATTGTGTTGTGTAACAGAAGAAAAAATGTTTGTAAAATTGACACACAATTTCCGAATGGCTGAGACACGTATTTTGATATTATTATTGTTGTTGTAAATGGTCACTTTTCATCTCTAAATATCAAATGTTAGAATTATAACAATGTAATGATCTAATATTGTGTCTTTGTGTATTCAAGACCCAAACAAAGGGAGATACAAAGACAAAGGTGTACTACATTCATTGGACATATGGCATGCGGCCAAAAATTTGACAAAAAAACTTCATGCGGTAAAAAAAAACTATAAGTGGATGTTACTGTTTTTACTTTTTGTGCATTACTGTACTTGAATGTCAGAATAACAGTGACAACTGATTTTTTTGTTGTCCTTTTTCTTTTTTTGGCTCACAGGCTGGGATCGTAAAGGGTCATTCCATCCTACTTGTGTGGCTGAGGGACATCGCCAACCAATTTTGGTATATTTGTCAGAAAGCCGAACATCGTGAGATGTTTAATATAAGTACTGTTATTTCACAAGACAATACAGTATCTGGGAAGTGCTTTCCATGTAGAAATAATTATTTTTCTGTTAGGACGATTGCTACCACACTTGCTTCTGGTGGGTGAAGAGTTTCGGTCACATGACAAATGTTTTTCTTCTCAAAATTGTATTTTGTTGTAGGATATGTGGGTGGGGGTGCTTTATCATGTCACAGGGAAGCATGAATGGACCTGTGGCAAATGTGACCATGGACCACTTGATGAGGCGACCCGTGATAAAGAGCTCATGGTACCAGGCTCTGCACCACATGAGGCTCTTCAACGAGTCATGTTCAACAGACGCTGGTTGAAGGATGTCGCAAAGTATCTGACCTTTCGGTAAATTAACATTGTTTCCATTAGCAGAACAGTTCAATCAATCAATATGAAACCTGGCACATTACAAATAATAAAATGGGAATGTAAAAAAAAAATCATAAAAATATTCCTCAAAAGTTTTAGCTGTGTTTTACATTATAGGTCAACTTCGGAACTTAAGAGTTTCCAGAATTACATTCTCATGTATGCTGGAAAAAGGTAATTTGATTTTTATTTGATTATTCACTCTTTATTATAATTACTTATTGAAAATATTGAGTTATCCTGGTCCCATACAAATGAAAAGAAATGTTTCAAGGGAGCCTTATGCCCAAGAGGATGGAGTCCCTTGCAGATTTTATTTGGTTAACCTTTTTTCCTCTATTGTCCCCCCCCTCCACACACACACACAGGTTTGCCTTATCTCCTCCTGTCTATGAAGCAAGGTGCCTTCTCGCTGCATTGGACTACAACCACCACAACCATCGACCAGATTACATCGGCCGGAATAACGAGAAATCGTAAGTCTCACATTTTATTGATCTTCAAGACAACTGAACATGATCTGTACTACAAAATAACTTGTCAAAGTTACACAAACTTGTGCTGATTTAGTATAATCTGTCACTACATAGGTTGCAAAGGACTATGGCTACATCCCAGAGCTGCAGCGTTGCATCCTGAGGTGGTGTCTAGATGGAGGGGCGCTCCCAAGAAAAGCTAAACACCGGCCAGGTGACCCAAGGCATCTTGGAAATCTTGCAGGAGTTGTGCCCCCAACGGCAGAACTAGTCCAGACACAAATTCGCAGAGGACAGGTATGTAATTCACCTACATCCCACATTTCATATCTGATCAATTTCAAATAATGTTTGTTATTGTTGTGCAGGTCAAGTCAAAACATACCTCTTTGAAATAAAAAAAATAGAAGTCTGTCTCACAAGTCTTTCTCTGTAAAAGCCAGCTGTACTGCACTAAGGTCCAATACTGCAGAAAAGTTTAGATCTTTTACTCACTATCACCAATTATAATACACTGCTAATTAATTTGAAAGTTTGGAACTTCTATTTGTAATAGTCAAACTATTAGCATCAAGCCATTAGTTATATCTGTTATGCCAAGGTTGAGTTGAAAATAACAATTACCAGATTTGATTATGGAGCATTGGTATATGTTCTAACGCTACTGTTCTCTTCTCTCCAAAAAGGCCTCAGCTACATGAAGCAAGAAAAGAGAGAAGACAAGACCTGCTTATTTTCCAAACATTTTTATTAGGAACATGTAAAAGACAAAAAACAAAATAAAACTATGTACATAATGCAAATTTGAAAAATACTCCCTGAAAACTTTGAAAATAAACATATATTGCACATAAATTGTTTTTATTTTTGGATAAAAGTGGAGTCTGTTATTTTGAGATCACAGATAAATAGAACAGTTGGAAATTTCACTCTGACATCCTAAATGGAGCTTCTTTGTAGCCTGTATAGTTTCCAAAGGGGTCGGGGAATTTTGCACGGATGCGAAGTACACAGCAGCTTGGGATCGGCCTCTGGTTCCCACTTCCCAGACGCCCATGTTGCCAGATTGTGAACTGGCGGTAGGCAGCAAACCGAAACTCTTTGTTGTCGGCTCCCACATCTTGGCTGTCCTCCAGAGCAAAGATGTTGTTCCACGTCATCCTCACCAGACGCAGCATACCCTCATCCAGCCAGTACATCTCCAGGTGGGCACTCCTGCTCAGGCACTGGTCCGGAGCCTGCCGACAGCACAGGTTTTCCATTTGGGTCGGCATGCGTCGGCAGTTCAGGCAGGTGCACCGTACTGGCTGCCCTCTGTCTGGCACATGTGGACCTGGTGTCTGCTCCCGGAACTCCAGGATGTCCAGCATCACCCCTGGCAGGCGGGTCATCACTTTCAGAATAATGTCATCTTTCTCCTCCTGGCTCAGATGTTGTAAAACCGTCTAGAAATTGACCAAGGAAATGTGTTTACAATGGCTAGATTCATATTTCAAGTCTGTGTGTTCTTTCACTAATATTATTCATAGAAGAAGNGAAAGAGAGAAGACGAGACCGTTTTGTCACCACACATTTATTTATTTTTATAATGTAAAAAAGTAAAAACAAAAAGAAAAGAAAACTATGTACATAATGCACAATTCCAAAAAACTTGCAACTTTGTAATTTTGAACTTTGAAAATAAATAAAATAAATATAAAAATAAATGACAGACATAAATAGTTATTATTTGTTGATGAAAGAAGTGGGATCTTTTGCTACCAAACTGTTATTTGTTGAGGTTTGTTGGTTATAGGTAAACAAAACAATAGAAATGTTTAGTTTTGCACCCTAAATGGAGCTTCTTTGTAACCTGTGTAGTTGGCAAAAGGGTCAGGGAATGTGGCTCGGATGCGAAGAACGCAGCAGCTGGGTATCAGCCTCTGGTTCCCACTTCCCAGACGTCCATGTTGCCAGATTGTGAACTGGCGGTAGGCAGCAAACCGAAATTCCTTGTTATCAGTGCCCACGTCTTCGCTGTCCTCCAGAGCAAAGATGTCATTCCATGTCAATCGAACCATACGCAGAGTAGCCTCATCCAGACACAACATTTGCATATGTGCACTCCTGCTCACACACCGGTCCGGAGACAGCACAAGTTCTCCAGTTGGGTGGGCATACGTCGGCAGTTCAGGCAGGTGCACCGTACTGGCTGCCCTCTGTCTGGCACATGTGGACCTGGTGTCTGTTGCCGGAACTCCCAGATGTCCAGCATCACCCCTGGCAGGCGGGTCATCACTTTCAGAATAATGTCATCTTTCTCCTCCTGGCTCAGATGTTGTAAAACCGTCTAGAAATTGACCAAGGAAATGTGTTTACAATGGCTAGATTCATATTTCAAGTCTGTGTGTTCTTTCACTAATATTATTCATAGAAGAAGTTTTTTTTTTAAACAAATAGCTATAACCAACCTGCATATCAGCTATAGTGGCAGCTCTACGCTCTGCGACCCGGACTCTGTCCTCCTCCCTGAAAGCTTTGGTGCGCTGCCTGCCCCGGCGCCCTGGTGCTCTGGAAGGAGCTCTGGACCGCGACCTGCTGCCTTCACCCCTTGAGTGTGTCCTTCCCCGACCTTCAGCGTGACCTCTTCCTTTCCCTTGTTTGCCTTTGCCTTTACCCCCTGGCCTCACACTTTTCCATGACTCATCAGAGGCTGGGTCAGGCTGAGGCACATATTCTTCCTCTGAAGTGTCCTCCATTAGTGCCACTCCTTCCAGAGTCAATTCCAAATCCTGAAACAAAAACAATGAGAGGAATGATCATTCTGTACACACTTTATAGCTATTCATACTATATCGTAGTCATACCCTGTTTATAGTCTGTACATACCTGCTGACATTAATATCATTTTAGTTACTCTTACCATCATAGCCTGTTTATAGTCTGTACAAACTGTAGCCATAGTCATTATATCATTTATTTATTTATTATTTATTTATATACATTAATCACTGCTTATGCACTTCTGGTTAGATGCTATCTGCATTTCGTTGCTGTGTACTTGTGACATGTGCAATGACGATAAAGTTGAATCTAATCTAATTTAATCTAATCTAATCTAATCTAAGGGCGGCACGGTGGTGTGGTGGTTAGCACTCTCGCCTCACAGCAAGAGGGTTGCCAGTTCGATCCCGGGCATGGGAGCCCTTCTGTGCGGAGTTTGCATGTTCTCCCCGTGTCAGCGTGGGTTCTCTCCGGGCACTCCGGCTTCCTCCCACAGTCCAAAGACATGCAGATTGGGGACTAGGTTAATTGATAACTCTAAATTGTCCATAGGTGTGAATGTGAGCGTGAATGGTTGTTTGTCTCTCTGTGTCAGCCCTGCGATAGTCTGGCGACCTGTCCAGGGTGAACCCTGCCTCTCGCCCGATGTCAGCTGGGATAGGCTCCAGCCCCCCCGCGACCCTCAAGAGGATGAAGCAGTTAGAAGATGAATGAATGAATGAATAATCTAATCTAATGATGTTATTAGGGCCAGAGCGACGACGAAGTCATCCGTGAGGACCCTATTGTAATCGCGCTGTTTATTATTAGGGCCCGAGCACCGACCAAAGGCCGGGCTAAGGCCCTCTTGAAACTGAAGGAATTATTAGGGCCCGAGCACCTGGCGGTGCAAGGACCCTATGGAAATGCAAGGATTTTTTATTATTAGGGCCCAAGCGACAACGAAGTCTTCCGTGAGGACTCTATTGTAATCGCACAGGTCGTCTGTGACCCTGCAATGGGGCCGAGGACACCTGGCATCCTGCCTTAGCGCCTCATCAGGAGACACTATCAGCGATGCAATGGCTGGCTCTATGGCTGGCACATTACCCAGGCCATACTTAGCTGCATCTTGCATGGCTGCCAAGGTCGGGCATCTGAAGTGGAGTGGGAGAAAGTCTTTGAGTCCCTCCAGCATGCATGTAGCCCCTTAATATAGTCCTCTGAAGGAGGAACTGAAAAGGTTGTTGGGGCCGGCTGGCGTCTGAAAAAGGCACTGACTGGAGCGGGGCCGTTCTGTGGGACTTCGAGCTGCAGGCGGGCTAGAGCCCCGCAAACAATAGCTCCCATGGAGGCATCCTTCGACCCCCCCAGATGAGCTCGATGGGTTGATTCCCGAGAGAGTGATTCAGAGGCCTGAGAGGGTGCGTCTCCCACTGAACTGCAAAACTGGGTTGCCGAAGCTGCAAGAGAAAGGACATCATCCTCAGCTCTTTCCTCTTCCAACACCCTGTCCATCGGGGGTCCCTGAACACTCGTGACACCCACCAAACGCTCCACCTCCCTCAGTCTGGCAACTCGCACAGACCAAGGCATGCAACTGCAGTTCATGCATGCGTCCTCGGACAGACCCGCCATCAGGTGGTCAATGCCCAGACAAGAGGGACAAAGATCATGACCGTCTTTCAACTCCAGAGGAGTCATGCAATCCACACAAGAGTGGGACATAACTGCGCCACCCTTTGCGCAACACACACCAGGAGCGGGAGCAAGAGCACTGCCTTCACTGGGAAGTTGTTGCTAAAACAGCAGATAGCCTGAGCGTGGGCACTGCTGCCATCGCAGAACAAAAAATACAAATAACTGCCTACGGTGAGACTATGCCGTGAGCGAGAGCACTGCAGCCAATAGTAATTAAACAAAAAACAACAGCACAAGCTGCGCCTAAATAATATTAATCAGCGGCGTGAACACCTAAAGTTAAGCAAAATATACAAAATATACAGCCCGGAATGTATATATGTGATATATAATATCACTCAGCGGCGTGAACGTGAACGCCACAGCCGGCAACATTAACAAAAAGCAACAGCCAAAGCTACGAACACAATGTCGAAAGATGACATGATCGTGAATAGGGATGGGTATTGTTAAGATTTTAACGGTACTACTACTCTTATCGATACTGCTTATCGATCCGGTACTTTAACGGTACTCTTATCGATACTTTTTGAGGAAGAAAACAAAACAAAACATTTTACTTTTTACAACTTGAAATGTAAAATACATAAAATAATAGTGTTGTCACGGTACCAAAATTGGGACCCACGGTACGATACCAGTGAAAGTATCACGGTTCTGAGTAGTATCAGGATACCACAGCAAAAATTAGGCAGATGTGCCTTTTGTCATTTATAAAAAGATAAATCACTTTTCTATAATACCTCAATGATATTTCAATGGAATAAATTACTTATTGACTTATTCATACTTCAAAAACAGCATCAATAAGTGATTAACATAGGGGGGATTAAAATAAAATAAGTACATAAAATAAAAATCAACCAGCCACCCTCCTCCTCTGACAAGTTAAGAACAGTCCCTAAAGTGCAGTGAGGTTTGTGGACCGTTACCTGCCACAAAGAGAGAAATGTGAACGGCTCGTTTCCCCTCTGACACGTCACATACCTGTGTGCCACCATGGCTTGGCTGTTCAGGTACTTCTGGACAGTCATGACACCAACAAAGAGGAAATTACTGGACCTGGAGCCGGGCTTCTCCGTCACCGGTAAGCAGTTATCTTGCGCCGCGGAGCACTATGGCCGCCGTATTTGACTGGAATATGTATTCCTGTCCATGTCTGTGACCCCCGTTCAACCCACAACCGGCAGGATTCGCCTTTAGTTCTCTATCATCTCGAGACTATCTCTCCACTCTGTTACATATTCCATATGTACAGGGTATGATCCCCCTGCTTGTCAGGGTACGTGGATAATTCTTTAAGACACAACGGCTTGCCCGGCCATGCCCCACTGCGTAGCTATAAAGCACCTAATCACTGATTGTTTGATCTCCA